ACATGCTGCCCGCCCCCCCCCCCCCCCCCCCCTGCCTGGAGCATTCTTCCCATGGGAGCCCCTGCTCATCCTTCACGTGTCAGCCTAGATGCTCCTTCCCTGAAGAGGCCTCTCTGCTCCCCGCTTCTCAGACACCCCATACACAGGCACTCCTTATCACATCACCTGCTTGGCTGTCTTCATAACACCACAACCTCTAATTACCCTGATCATGTTTCTGGTTTGCTTGTTTATCATCTGCCTCTCCCCACGGGTTTGTCAGCTCCTCGCGGGCGGGGATTTTATCTGTCTGGTTCAAGACTGCAGCCCCAGAGCAAATCCACGGTGCCTTTAAACCCCCACACCGTGGGGCTGGGCTACTGGTCCACTTGGTCTCCCATGAGGAAGCAGAGAGTCACCACCCTGTGACATGGGGGTGAGGTGCTGTGATTTCCATGGTGTGGTGGAAACCTCCAGGTAGACCCTTCCTAGCCAAGCAGCCCTGAGCGGGTCAGTTGCCCCTTCTGGGTTTCTCCCCAGTCATTTACGAAACACAGGACAGCAAGCGGGTCCCGTGAGGGTGGGCTGGACAACTGTGGTAGGAATACCTTGCACAGGGCTGGGCCACGGATGTCCCCAGCACCTCCCCCTCCTTCAAGAGTGGCTCTTCCCAGCCAGTGGCCAGCTGCCCCTCTGACAGAGCTGGAGGTTCCTGTGCCGGTGTAGGAGGAGGCCCGAGGGCAGCCGCTCCTCTGCGGGGTGGGCTGATGTGTGAGGGATTTATGGGACAATGCTCGAAATGAAAAGCAATTCAATCCAATCCCAGGGTGGCAAGAGGCTTCCTGGAGCCTCGCTAAGTGGGTCTGGAGCAGTGATCAGCGTTGCAAATCTATTAGCCTGCTCTCGGCATCTGGGGCCGCTGCGTGCATGAGTCACTGGGGTAGGGAGCCAGGAAGCTGGTGCTGCCAGCCGGCTGCTCATCAATTAAACTCCTCTCCGTTTAATTAAGACATAAAACATCACCCTGCATGTCTGCAAGATGGGCTGGACACCCGGGGCCCCAGCAGCCGCTGCAGCCGCCCCCTGCCTCCCTGTGTCAGACACCCGCCAGGCCACAAGGCAACCAGGAAGTCACACTATGTGTTTTCTTGCCCAGGACATAGCATCTCTGTTGGAGGCTCCTGCCTGCACTCTGCTGGTGATATGCCGCTCACCACCTACTTCCCTCTGCTGACTCAGGTGGGCCAGGCAGGGTGGCCCAGGAGCATGGCCTTCAGAGCCAGCTGCCTGGGGCCGGGCCACTTGGCTGTGTACTCAGTTCTTACTCTCTCTGTGCCTCAGTTTCTTCCCCTCTGTGTGGAAAGACAGGAATTGTATCTGCAGGTAGGGTTATTTCAGGGATTACGTGAGTTAATGCTCACAGAACGTTTGGGGCTGAGCCTAGAAAGCAGACATCCTCTCTGCACTCACAACTGGAAGGCCCTCCTGCCTCCTACCATGCCTGCCACCCCCTGCGTTGACAGGGCATTGCAGCCAGCCTTCAGTCTTTAGAGCACGCATGACATGCTGGGTCCAGCTTACCCTCTGGACTGGGAGGTCTGAGGACAGATCTAGCCTGATTCACCTACATGTGTTCTGTGCCCAGCACAAGTCCCTCAAGCAGGTGCAGGGACTGTAGGTTTCTTGGATGAATGAATAAATGAAGAATGATGAATGAATGATGTGAATTCTTCCCTCTTGGACTTCTTTGGGCCCCAGAGAATAAGATAAAAAGGAATGCTGTGCAAGACATTCACCAGGCCTGGGATCAGGCAGATCCAGTTAGAATTCCACTTTGCAACTCTGAGCCTCAGTGCTCTCATCTGCAAAATGGGCACCACCCAGGCACCCTTGGCCCCCAGCTCAATATCCATTTTCCTCTTCTTTCTCCTCATTTTGGGGGAGGAAAGGCTATTAACTCAGCATAGCTAAAACACACACACACACACACACACACACACACACACACACAAAACAAAAAAACTCTCTTTTCCAAACTCCCTTGCAGTTGGGGGTAGTCACAGGACCCCGACCAACCAATGAAATGCCAGCTGAGTCTTCTGGGGGTTCTGGGAAGTCAAGCCTGGCACTGTGCCCACTTTCCCGCTCCCTGCCTCCAACTGGAATGTGATGTTCGAGGGGGCGGGTTTGGGAGCCAAAGCCAGAATGCTAAGTAAGGATGGCATGGAGGAGAGATGGAGAGAACGAGCCTCCCATCTGCCCCAGAGAGCAACAAGCCTGAGCCCACACTGCTGCCTCTGGACGCCTCACCGTATGGCAACAAACCCGTGCTGGCTTAAGCTTCTGAAGCTGGAGGTCTTCTGTTTCTTAGAGTCAAGTGCATTCCAAACGGATGAGGTGATGCCACCCCACACGAAGCAGAGTCCCCACGCCAGTGCCTTGCACTGATCAGGTGCTCAGTAAACACGTGTGTCTGCTCACACCAGCCCAGCTCCCCAATCTACTGACCAGCCTGCCAAGGCTCCTCTCTTTCAGAACTGGCCATGGAATGTGCCCCCCACCACAGCTGGCCCTTTGGGACCGGGCCAGAGCCTGGCAGTGGGAGGTGGCATGGGAGAGGCTCTAGGACAGGGAGACCATAGCACTCTGTGGTCTCAGCAGGAGTCACCTGCAGCTCAACTGGAAAAAGCATGCTGACTCTCGAGCTGACTGAGGCAGGTGGCATGGCTTTGTCACAAGAAAATGAGAGGAACAAGCAGTCCAGGTAGGGGGACCCTAGGTGGGGAGGCCCGAGGCAGGGACCCCCCCCCTTACCTGGCACCCGGGGATGTGGTGGGAATGTGGGAAAATCAGATTGGGGTGGGACCATCCTTGGTCAGGCTCCGGTCTATAAACCAGCATCCCCCATACCTCTGTCATGGTATGTCTGGTCATGGCATCAGACCACCTGCGTGTTTATTGACTCCATAAGTTCTCTTTTTTGATTTTGTTCACTTTAAACACCCTAAATGAAAGTGTCTGTGGATCTTCACAGAAAACTCGAAAGCCGGTACCACCGTCGCTGAAGGTAAGTGTGAACCAAACACAGTAAATGCCTACAACAGCAATCAAGTCCAGCCAGCTCTTCCACCCTGCCAAGGCCCTGGGCCGGATGCCTACTCTCTCTCTGTGTCAAAAAGCAGATTAAAGCGTGTTAGAGAGATGTAAAAGGCAGTTTAGAAGCAAACTGAGACTTTCTGAGGAAGGTAGTAAGTGGGATTGGGTGAGAATTAAGAGGATCTTTACATCTCCATGACGTGATGCCTGATTTAATGCCGGATTGATGCAGGGCTGACGGCAGAGCCTCCGAGGACTGTGAGGCCACTGCAGGGTTGTGAGCAAGAAGAAAATACAACCAGTGAGTGTGTTACTAGGGGAAGCATGGTCTGACTCATGGAGAGCAAATGGAGATGTGAGAGCCTTCAGAAGAGGAAGATGTGAGAGCCTTCAGCTGACCCATGGGAGAGCAGCAGTTGGGGGGCAGGGAGGGACATCTCAAAGGCATTTTCTCCATCCCCTCTTCCCCTCTTGAGGGCCTGACTCTGCCTCGCCAGTCAGTATAGCTGAGGCTGCAAGAGTCTGTTCCGGCTTTGATTCTCCTTCTTCCTTGGTGGGACTTATCCTTAAATGGGAAGGACGGGCCCATACCTGGGTCACAGAAATGCAGAATGAGACGGGGAGAGAGCACCAGCCAGATCCCAGAATTTCCAATCCTTGAATCATGTCTTTGGAACAGTGTCTCCCAGTACCAATGTTCTTCCAGTCTTTCCATGTGAGGGAAGCAAGCACACAGAGTCGCCACCAGGATGGAGATGGACAAAAGATGTTTCTGTCTTTCAAAGGGTAGATTGGAGGGGCTAGAGCCCCAATGAGCTGGAGGATATCAGCACCCCTCCCCCAATTCTAGCATAGTTCAACCCACACACAGTTTAAGAACACTTAGAAGCCAAAGAGCAATCATCAGGAGTTCACAGGTTCACTAAGGATCATGTCGATGCGAAACCAGTGTCATTTGCCACAAGTACCCATCAACTAAATACAGGAGAACAATGCCGCTCACTAGGTATTGCTCTAGCTGCTCTCAATCTCCACCTACTGAACTTTTATGTGGCTTGAAAGGAGTTTTCCTTAAATGGTGAGAGGAAACATTTCAAGGCAATAGCTAATACAAGATTCTCATGGGCAATCAAGAGTAAAACAGAGCTCTCAGTTATGACCATTTATGTCTTAATTTATTTTTCTTGAGGTATAATTGACATATAATATTATATTAGTTGCAGGTGTACAACATGATTCGATATTTATATACATTTTCAAAATGATCACCATCCATCACCTTAAATAGTTACAAAAATTTTTTTTTTCTTGTGATGAGAACTTTTCAGGTTTACTCTCTGAGCAACTTGCAAGTACACAACACAGTATTATTAACTATTTCCACCTTGCTGAACATTACATCCCCATGAATTATTTATTTTATAACTGGAGGTTAGTACCTTTTGACATCCTTCACCCACTTCTTTCACCCCACCTCCAGTCTCTATATAACCATTTTTAGAAAACGGTTATTTTGGGGTAAATTCTGGCTAATGCAGTAACATAAGAAACTGCAATGGGAGATATAACTCTTGTAAACAAGCGAGCAAAGTTGTCATTAATTAATGTGTGTACAATTACATCTCCCTGAATAAATAAAAAGTTCATTACAGTTTAAGGGACTTCTGTAAGGTAGCTGAACGAAGGTTAAATATACACCTGTAAATAACCCCCCTATAAATATAAAAAGCCAGTTAAAAAACCGTGTCACCCAGAGCCTCCTTCATAGAAGAACTGTTGCTCCTTCTGCTGGAAGTGCAGTCAGCAGATAGCCTACAGATGAGAGCCCCTCAGGGATGGCATCAGAGGCAAAGAGCCATCCAATCAAGAACACATCCCATCCAAGGCTGCACACATCCAATGACTGAGGGAGGCAAGGACCAAAGTCACCAAGACAGTTCTGATGGGCTCCCCATGGGGCCAACATCACAGCTTGCCCTCTCTCTGCCTCTTCTTTCTTCATTCCTCTCTCTTCCATGTTAGTGGTCCCAGAAGCCAGCTTCCTGGAAAATCCAACATGTAACAATGATGCTATGGAGAAATGTCCCATTCCCAATAGCAACAGAAAGCATAAAATAGCAAAGAATTTCATAGAGACTTACATAGAAAGGATTAAAAGCAGGGCAGAGAGTCCTGGTTCAGGACAATGGACGACCAAAGGCTAGAGTTGCCTTTTCTTGTGCTATATCCATACTGATAATGAAAATATCCAACAATTTAGAAGAAAAAGGACCATCCCTCTTGCAAATAAGCAGGAGACTCCACGATGGCCCTGAAACTGTGAGGTATATTCCAAATGGAGAGAACTCCCACCCCGGGAGGGTAAAGGGTTTTGTCCAGAACAGAGAAATGCAAGTAGGGGTCAGAAGCTCTTTGGGAGATTCTGATGCCATCCTTAACCCCTACTTGAAGAGGAGCTAAGAGACTAATCTTTAGGAATTTCTAAAAGCTGTCATTAAAAAACACCCATCAAACACTATCAGTAATACCACTAGAGAGATAAGGACTACTACTTTATCTATAAAACAAAGGCAGAGGATATGGAAAAAAAATAGAGGTTGTGGAAATGGAGTATATAATATTTCATGTGAAAGACTAGTAGATGGGTCATACTGCAGAACAATGCAGCACAATGGAATGAAATAGATGGAAAGTTTGAAAGAGCAGTTAGGAGACATTGAATCTAGAAGTTTTAATATCTAGCTAGTAGGGACTCCTGAATGGAAGGAAAGAAAGACTAGACAGGAAGCAATATTAAAAAAAAATAAGATGGAGAACGTGTTGAACCAAAGAGATAAATTTATCTTTGAACTGAAAACACACCAGTGTAGAAAAGAGCAGATCACTGCAAAACAAAGAACTAGACACATAATCGTAAAATTTCATTGCACCAAGGATTAACAACTCAACCCTGACAGTTATCAGTAAAATACATGGACTATCTACAGAGAATGAGATTCAAATGAAATCAGCAAAAGTGAAGGGAAGAAGTTAAAGAATGGTGTCCTTCAAGTGCTAAGACACAGTAACTCTGCACCTAGCTTTCTACACCTAGTCACACCATCAGCAAAGGCTGACAATGAGGTGAATGTGTTTTTGTATATATAAAAGTATTCTAAGACATTTGCCACACTCACAGATCTCACTGAAAAAATTAATAAAGCAGGTACTGGAGTAATGACAAAAAATCCAGAAGGAAGCTGTGAAAGACAAGAAGCAGAGGTGAGCAGAGACATATGTTAAAGGTATTTGGTTTACAGAAATATTGATTGAAAATAGTTTGGGATATATGAAAAGAGCAGAGAGAGGTAGAATGATGCCAAGAAAATAGTCTGTTGAGGAAGAATAATGATATTGAGTCACTCAGTTAAGGGTAGCAAATGTGAATGGATTAAACATGTCTATTAAAAGATAAAGACTGACAGATAAACATTAACACACAAGAAGGGAGGTATAGGACAAAAAATGTAAGGCAAAAACCATTTTAAAGACACAAAAATAATGGATCAGTCATGTTCTGGAAGGAAACACTTGAAGGGTTAACAGAAGAGAGATTAGTGCAATAAAAGTTTATTTACAGAGGTATTGGTGGGCTAAAGGAACCAGCAAGAGATGGTGAGACACCCAAGGACTAGCCTAGGTCTCCAGAGGATGGGGAGAGGGTGATGTTCTCAGGACCCAGGGAAGTTGTGGCTGTTAAGACGGTGCATTGGCTGCAGTCTTTGATAAGAATTGCAGTTTTGGCCATCCCACAGCCCTTCAGGGAGAGAGTGGGTGGTGGGTGAACCTGGAACTTGAACTCATTCCCCTCCCATTCACTGGTCTCTTGGAAGCCAGAGGGGGCAGGATCAGAAGCTGCAGTCCATCCAAGGCCAGCCTCTGGGGTACAAAGCAGGACAGAAAAGGGGGCTTTGGAGTGCAAGTAGAAAATCGTCACTGAGATATACATTTCATACATGAAAGGAACAGCCACTGAAGACATATCATGAGCACAGCTCTTAGCATATGCAATAACAAACTTGAAAATCTATAAAGCAAAACTAATAGAACTATGAGGAGAAGTGGGAAAATCCACATGGCTCTCTCATAAAGGTTCACACTGAGATAGTGAGAACGTTGGAAATCTTCATGATATGATCAAATAGTATCAATGAAAATAATAAAGCAAGCTATTACTAATTAGATGGAAGTTTCTAATGATAACACTGGAGCTGGTGAGAAGGAGTAAATGAAAGGATTCTGAAAGACTAGTATATTTTGGGAGAAAGAGTACAGATGTCAGTTAACACCAGAATTTCAATAATACATATTTATTGTGTTAATTTAAAGATAATGACTAGAAGAACAGAAATAAAAGGTATGACTTTCAAGGTAGTAGAAAGGAAGCATGGAACAAAAGGCATTAAGTGAGGAATGTGAGGATGGGACAAATGTGAGGATGGGTAAAAGTAATAAACAGAAAAATTAAACTAGGACAAATAAATGCAAATGGATTATATTAATCTATTAAAAGATAGGGCCTCGCAAACAGGATTAAAACACAAAATCAAGCTATGCTTTATTTACAAAAGATGTACCCAAAATGGAATAAAGAAAAATGGGAAAAAGACAACTATACAAAACATACAATAGACAAATGTAGACAAAAAGAAAAGTGTAACCAAGTTATGTGGGAAGATATAATTGAAGGTGAAAGTGTTAACAAGAACAAAGAAGTGTACTTAATTTTGATAAAAGACACATTCCACCAAGAAAAAACATCACCTCTATTGGCCTAAATAAAAAAGAAGCTTCAAAATATTTAAATAAATCCGTAAATATGGGGGATTTGACAACACACCCTTCTCAGGAAGTGACAGATCAAGTAAAAAACAAGAGAGAAAGGATGAAAGCTTCCATTTTTCAAGACTGAAGGTATTAGCATACACACAAGCCCTGCAGACCAGTGGTGAGCCCAGGGAGGTCAGAACCAAAGGCTGCAATCCCCGCTCTGAAATGAGACAGTAACCCTGGAGCCAGCTCAAATGCACATGTAGGGCTAGGGAGATGGGAGATGGACTCCTGACTCTGCTGGCCTCATGTATCTCCCCAACATGGAGGCTGTCTTGTGGACCTCTGAGGGTGGGACTAGGGCAAGAAGGGACTGTCCCTGCCCTTTGTGCCTTTCAGCTTTCTCACAGTGCAAGCAACTCTTTACTTTTGGGCTTTGGGGACATGAGAGAGGTCTGAAAATATATATTTTAGGAATTAGCCTCACAAGAGTGGCAGCCCATGTGTTCTAACAAATAATAAGGTTATTTCCTTGATCCCTCTGGTTTAGTCCTGCTGGGAGGGGGAATTGTCATGGCAGCACCTACTTCCCAGGGGTAGTGGACATGAAATGGAGTCCTAGGTCAGGGCAAAGCCCCTTCCCAGGCCCAGGGTCAGTGGGTGTGGCTAGCAATTTTACATTCCTAAATTTGAAGGATTTTTAGGGGAGTGGCCCCCAAATTGTATAAACTTCAGGCCCGAGACATAGCCTGCTGAGCTCATCACCTCCTTCTTAAAACTCTGCAGTGACTGCTTTCTTGCAGAACAGCAATCAGCCAGAGGGTCTGAGAGGTCAGCATCCTGCTGGTCCGGCTCCACACATCTAGCTTCCGGCTCCATTCATACTGGTCCTGTGGACTCCTGGAAGAGGTCTTCTGGGGTGTCTGGGTAGCTCAGTTAAGCATCCGACTCTTGGTTTCTGCTCAGGTCATGACCTTGGGGTTGTGAGATGGAGCCCTGCAGTGGAATCTCCTTGATATTCTCTCCCTCTGCCTCCTGCTCCCCCCACCCCAACTCATGTTCTCTTCTCTCTCTCTCAAATAAATAAATAAATCTTAAAAAAAAAAAAAAAAAAGGTCTGCTCCAATCCTAGGTCATTGGTAAATGGGCTTCCCTCTGCCCATAAGGCCCTCACTGCTTGACCCCTTCTACTAGTAAGGTTGACTCCTACTCCTCCTTCACACCCAGCTCAAAGTCCCCTGGTTGGTCATCTTTCCCTGACCTCTGGTAACTAGATCAATTACATATCCTGGACTCTTTCCTTGCCAGCATCCAATATAATTCTGTCTGTACATCTGTTTCTGGGATAAACAGGTTATTGTATGAACAACCAGCTTCTTGGCTGTGAATAAGTTAGGGGAGGTACACCATTTGATAGTGGACTCTGAAACTATATTCTCCTTTACATCACACCTGGTCAAAGCACCTTCCCCCAGACACACACCTGTCTCATTTCTGCCTGGTATGTCTGGGCCCCTCTATCCCTAGGTGAGAGCAACAAGGTAGGGCAGAGACCATTGCTGCTTGGAGCTCACAATGCCCCAGTGGTTGCCACCTCTCTGTCCTGGAATGTTCAAGGCCAATCCTTCCAAACACAGAGCCAAAAAAGGACATCCTAGGATATCAGGCATCAGAACCCATCTTGTCTGATGGTGTCAGATGTGAGATCCTGTTTGGATGGAATGGGGGTAATCTACTCTGGACAGAGGGCCACTGGCCCTTCCCTCCCACAGCCCTGATCCCCGGCTGTCTCTTCTTTGTTCAACAGTTCCCTCTCCACATGCCCCTTGCAAGACTGCCCTCTCCTCCCCTCCCCTCTTGGCTACCTGCTCAGCCCTCCCCTTGCATCTGCTCCCACCCAGGCAGCTACAAGGACCACCAAGACTCCTGCCCTGAAGACCCAATCCTATAAATGGTCTGCAATGTCCTCAGAGACTCTTGTGTAGGTAAGTCTGGTATCCTGGCTTCTTGCCTCCCCATCTCCTACCCTGGTCTATGAATTTGAGGGTTGGGGTGTTTCACCAAGTTTTCTCCAAGCTCCCCTTTATGCCCCAATAATGCACTGGAAAGCATTTATCTCCCCAGCTTGTGAATCAACAGGTGGGATCAAACTTTTATGACTTACCAAATTAATTAGTTAAAGCGAATCTTCCTTTTCTTTTTAAACTTCTATTTTCTTTGTTAATGAACAAAA